GTTCAAACCCATGTTGTTCAAGAGTCAACCATATACACTTGTTAAGACTCATCAAACTGAACACTAAAGACCTGAGCATTTTATTTTATAAATCATCACCCTCTCACCCCTGCTCTCCCACCTCCATTTTCTTCCTTCCCCTCTCCCTCTGTCTCTTAAGAATACCTCGGGAAATTCTGAAGAACAAGAAAGATGAGCGATATAGCTGACCCTCCGATGGGGGATATTCCCCATTCAATATCCACTTACCCCTCCCTCCTTACCCCCATTTTGTTTGAGGTATCAATCTGCCCCGTGAGAAATTCTGCCCTCCCACACTTTCTTGCAGCTAGGGGTGAGGTCACCTGCCCAATTCTGGCCAATGAGAAGTATGTAGAAGTCTCCAGGGTGGGACTCCCTGAAAACCTATTGCTTTCACAGACTCAAACACATGCTTTTGTTAGTATCGCTTTCTTTTCTTTCTTCCTGGAGTACAGCTGCTCAAATGAACTAAGGAGATTGTGCTAGTCCCTGATACAACCCTGTTTTACTCCAAGCTAGAGGAGCTCTTGGCAAGTCACGACTAACACTTCGCAAGTCAAAACGTTTAGGCATCGAAATGAAAAAAGCAATTCTGACTGGAAGTCAAGAATGATCTACGCATTGCTGTGCTAAAGTATACATAAGAATTTAGTATGTAAGTGATATTTCAAATCAATGGAGGATACAGACCATCAACGGACAGTGTAGGAACAAAAACTGCTAACTTATAACATACAAAATTATAAAGATAGATGAATGCTCTAAGCAATAGAAGCCAAAACCATACAAGTGCTAAAAGAAAAGGCAGTGAGATTGAAAACGGTCTCATAACACGTTACCCAAAAGCCCCAAGCCATAAAGTTAGACTTGGCACCATAAAGATTCAGAATTTCTGCATCATGAAATGTACGGTACAAGCTAAACTTAAAGACAAGCAATAGTTTGAGAGAAAATAATGGAACACATACGTAGGCAAAGGACTACTACCATACATATGACAAGTTCTTACAGACCAATAAAAACATAAATGAAACAAAAACCCAAAAACCCAGTTAGGAAAATATAAGGAGAAAGGCGTCATGTAAAAAAATATCAGAGATAGTGAAGAACTAAAAATGCTCAGTCTTAGGACGCCAGGGTGGCTCAGGCGGTTGAACGTCTGGCTTCGCCTCAGGTCATGATCTCACAGTTTGTGAGTTTGAGCCCCGCGTCAGGCTCTGTGCTCATAGCACAGGGCCTGCTTCGGATCCTCTCTCTCCCTCTCTCTGCCCCTTCCCCGCTTGGTCTCTCTCTCTCTCTCAAAAATAAACATAAAAAAAATTTTTAATAAAAATACTCAGTCTCACTAGGGAGTATAATAAAAGTTTTTTAAATAAAATAAAAAATTTTAAGAGGTATTATCCACCTGCCAGCTGACAAACAATTTAAGAGACTGAGAATATTCTGTATTTAGCATCTCTTTTACCATGAGAACAGAAACGGACACAACCTCTTTCGAGGACCACTTTGCAAAGGCTTCTCCCCTGAAATCCATCTCACTGGAAAACTGAACCGCACATGCAAAGATGTTTATCGCAGCCCCGTTTTATTAGCAAAATCATAGCTACCCAAATAATGAACAGAAGAACAGTCACATAAACTAAAACCACATTGTGGAATACTGTTCAGCCATTACAACAACAAAAAAAATGGAGACAAAAACTTATATGTACAGTATATTCAAATTAGACTAACGAGTTGGGGAAAAGTACTCACTTTTGCCCTTTAACAAATTAACCATTAGGGGGCACCTGGCTGGCTCAAACAGTATGTCATTCTTGATCTCAGGGTTGTGAGTTTGAGCTCCACGTTGGGTGTAGAGACTACTTAAAAACAAAATCTTGGGGATGGGGGGGGGAATCTGGGTGGCTCAGTCAGTTAAGCATCCGACTCTTGGTATCAGCTCAGCTCATGATCTCACATTTTGTGAGATCAAGCCCCGCATCAGGCTCTGCACTGACACAGTGGAGCCTGCTTGGGATTCCTTCCTTCCCCCTCTCTCTCTGCCACCCTCCTTAACCCCACGTGCACACACTCGCTCGCTTGCGCACGCTCTCTCTCAAAATAAATAAGCATTAGGGGCGCCTGGGTGGCGCAGTCGGTTAAGCGTCCGACTTCAGC